GCTCCTATCAGGTTGAAAGCATGCATTCCTCCCAACTTTCTAAGAGAAGAAGGAGGGAGACATTATAGCACAAGTATATAGGCAATCAACATACCCCTGCAACCCCCTCAAGGTTATGGACCAGGAAGAATATGCATTTGCTTATCTCTACTTTTCCTTTATACTGGCATTTCAAAAAAACGCATGTAATAGATTAAGGGGATGATAAAAGATTTAGATTTAGTGCGTAGTATGTTATTTATATATACCCTGTTTCCCCAAAAATAGGACCTACCCCGAAAATAAGACCTAGTACTTTTTTTGGGAATTGCTAAAATATAAGACCTACCCCGAAAATAAGACCTAGTTGTGACCATTCCGAGGGCCGGTGGTGGCATAAGGGGGAACTTGAAGAGCCGTGGGAGAGGCAGGAGAGAATCAGCGGTGCCAACGAAGCCAGCGCTAGAGGAAGCGAGGTGGCAGCGGAGGGAGCAGATGCCTCCTCTATAGCGCCGGCTCATGTCACAAGCGGAGTGATACCAAATGCACTCCGCCTGTGAGGAATCGATGGTGAAAGTGCGCCTCGCTCATTCTGGCCAGCGATTGGTTACCAAATTGCTCTTGGAAAGGTACGGCACCCCTGATTGCCCTGATCACCATATTTTTGTACCTGACTACATGTAGACTGTTGTACATGAATAAGTGTGGATTGTTCTACATTAAAAAAAAATAAAAAAATAAGACCTACCCCGAAAATAAGACCTAGTGTGTTTTTTGGAGCCAAAGATAATATAAGACACTGTCTTATTTTCGGGGAAACACGGTATATATGGAGAGGGGGAGAGGGAGAAAGTTTATAGTAAAGGTCTGTACATCATCTAATAAAGAGGGCCAAGCTCATCTACGCTGTCTACCTTTTGGAGATCCTTAAAAACTCACCTCTTCAGGGAAGCTTTTCCCGCCTCAAGATAATAACTGTCCTTTTACTTCCACTAACTTAATCTAAACAATGATTACCTTTTGTATCACTTGCCCCTCCTACTAGATTGGAAGCTCTCCCGAGCAGGGCCCTCCTAACGCTATTGTACTGAAATTGTATTGTAACTGTACCATTGCCCCATTTAGTAAAGCGGTGCGCAAACTGTTGGCGCTATATAAATCCTGTATAAGAATAATAATTGAGGGACAGAGAGTTCCATAAGAGGGACAGTCAGGAGTGACAAGGCACAGGAAATACACTGCTATATTTTATTTAGAATTAAAGGTACATTTTTCAGGGTACTGCTTAGGCACAATTAACATTTCTAGATGTTCCCTATAACATAGGGAATCTTTTTGAATTTAGGTCCACTTTGCCTTCCATATGGAAAAGACAGGCCACCAGTTTCAAGACTGGCTTGGTAAAAATAAATATCCTTTAACCCCATCCAACTGAGCTGGCATAAAAATGTGGCCTCGGAGCTGGCAGGCTCAGACTGGTCCCTGCAGCCTCTCTCTCCTCCGCTGCAGCAGTCTAAGGTTCATTGAGTCATCATGTCCAATGCAGTGTATAGGACGTGAGGATGCCCGAGGGACTTTCCATAGCTGCAGCTGAGGAGAAAACAGGCTGGAGGGAGCGCTCTGAGGATCAGGTGAGTATAACTTTTTTTTCTTTTTTAGACCCTAGGCAAAAAGGAGCAGTGTGGCTACCCCCTCCCCCCCAACTTTGTATTACCTTCAAGGGTTAATAAACTTTGTGCCCGGAGCTCTTTTATAAGGTTTATTTAACCACCTTCCGTCCGCCGAACGTTGAAAGATGGCCGGACGGGTGTCTCCTGGATGCGGGTGGCCATTTACATACAAGCGGTCCAGCGTCTGTAAAGATGCTCGATCGCTTGTATGATGCAAGTCAGGATGCGTCCCCCCCCTTACCTCTCGTCGCTGTCCCACCACCGCCGTCCCCGCGATCCCGGGTGTCCATCCATCCCGGGCGATGTGGCTCTGTGCACTGAGAACAGAGGGAGATCAGTACGCGATCTTGCTCCGCTCTCCTCCCGGTCTCTGAATGCAGGAAGTGATGTATATTACATCTCTTCCGCATTCCTCTGTCACTCTCCGGTACAGAAACTAGAGAGCAGCTGATGAAGCAGATCTGTGCATCATCAGCTTCTCTGGGGGTCCCTAGGTGACATTAGGGGTCTTAGAGACCCCTGATGTCTCCATAAAGGGGACCTGTAACTGAAATTTGTTATTACATAGGGTACTTCTTAGCACGCTATGTGATAGCAATAAAGTTAAGTATAAAAAAAAAAAGTAAAACAAAAATTGCTCACAAAACTAATAACAATTTACACACACAAAACAAAAAAAACCCCACAAATGTTTTTTAAAGTCCCCCACCCCCACATAGATGCGCAAAAATGTGTTAGATGCGCCTACACGCAAAAACGACGATTACTCCAATTATGCCCCACGTGTTACATATCGCCGTAAACATCGCAATGAGAGCAATAATTTTAGGGCCATTAATCACTGATAACACTAAACTGATGAGCGGTAAAATCATTCAAAGCTTCGGCTATGGTCAATTTTGGATATGGTGTTTTTTTGCGATTTCGCTGACGCGTGCAATTTTAAGGCTTGACATGTTTGGTGTCTATTTACCCGACGTGACCCCGTCTTTTATATTTTACCAAAAAATTGGGTAATAATAAATGTTTCCTAAAATAATAAAGGGAATTTTTTTTTATTATTATTCTGTACTTTTTTTGTTATATAGTAAAAAATAAAAACCCCAGTGGTGATTAAATACAGTACAGCGTTGCATGACGGAATAAATGTCAGTCAAAGTACCGCAGCGCTGAATACTGAAAAATGGCCTGGACAGGAAGCGGGTGTAAACAACACGGTCAGCAAGTGGTTGAAACTGGACCAACACGGAGTAAATTCCATCCAGTTCTTGAAAAATGTCTGCAAACACCTGAAAATGAGTAGCCTTGTAAAACGATCAACCATCTTCTTCTCAGAGTGCCTGCTTTCCATTGGTTACAACAAACACGCTCAAGCCTGAATACGCCTGAAAAAAAAACATGCAAAAAACACACAAATAAAATGCTCCAAAATCTTTGGGACCTGGCAGAGACCCATGGCGTCCCATCACGTGTTTGTAAACGTGTGGGGTTTGAAATGGAAACACCACAATACTGCCTCCAGGGATGTGTGACATAGACATACCACGAGGCATAGATGCAAGAAGAGAAAACAAGAATGAAAATTGGTATTCACGGTTGCAATAGCTGAAGAAGGAAAAGGAGGATGATGAGTGGGAGATGTCAGGGGTGAAGGTCTGCTTTAACACACCCCACCTTCATTATTCTTCCTCATGTGCTCACATTGTAATCAGATTCTGCCTTTATGAACATATATAATATCTAATGTAACCTGTGACGGGTCCCCTGGCTTTCATTCAGCATTAAGCCTTGTTCACATGGGTGGCAGTAAAAGCAGGCAATGTCAGCAATCCAGCTGAATAGTGCTCTATACTTTGCCTCAGCCGCATTGCTTTGCGTCACAGCACAGGAGGAAATATACAGCATGCCACGTTTGGCAGGCGGTGCAGCTTGTCAGACATGATCATTGCAATGAATGGGACTCATTGGGCCGGTATGCTATGTTTGATTAGACTGGTATGTTTGATTGGGCTGGTATGTTTGATTGGGCTGGTATGTTTGATTGGGCTGGTATATTTGGTTGGGCTGGTATATTTGGCTGAGGTGGTATGTTTGATTGGGCTGGTATGTTTGGCTGAGCTGGTATGTTTGGCTGAGCTGGTATGTTTGATTAGACTGGTATGTTTGATTAGACTGGTATGTTTGATTGGACTGGTATGTTTGATTGGGCTGGTATGTTTGATTGGGCTGGTATATTTGGTTGGGCTGGTATATTTGGTTGGGCTGGTATGTTTGATTGGGCTGGTATGTTTGATTGGGCTGGTATGTTTGATTGGGCTGGTATGTTTGATTAGACTGGTATGTTTGACTGAGATGGTATGTTTGATTAGACTGGTATGTTTGATTGGGCTGGTATGTTTGATTGGGCTGGTATGTTTGATTGGGTTGGTATGTTTGGCTGAGCTGGTATGTTTGGCTGAGCTGATATGTTTGATTGGGCTGGTATGTTTGATTGGGCTGGTATGTTTGATTAAACTGGTATGTTTGATTGGGCTGGTATGTTTGACTGAGCTGGTGTGTTTGACTGAGCTGGTGTGTTTGACTGAGCTGATATGTTTGATTGGGCTGGTATGTTTGACTGAGCTGGTGTGTTTGATTGGGCTGGTATGTTTGATTGGGCTGGTATGTTTGACTGAGCTGATATGTTTGACTGGACTGGTATATTTGATTGGACTGGTATATGTGATTGGAAGTGTTGACTATCAGTGCAGTTTGCCATATCTGAGCCGTGGTATTGGGATATATTTATCTGTGCAAGTATATGTGACTGGAGCGGTATGGGAGAAAGGTTGACTGTCAGTGCAGTTTGCAGCGTCAGAGCCATGTATACTGGTATATTTGATTGGACTGGTATATGTGACTGGAAGTGTTGACTATCAGTGCAGTTTGCCATGTCTGAGCAGTGGTATTGGGATATATTTATCTGTGCTAGTATATGTGACTGGAGCGGTATGGAAGGGTTGACTGTCAGTGCAGTTTGCAGTGTCGAAGCAGTGTATACTGGTATATTTGATTGGACTGGTATATTTATCTGTACTGGTATATGTGACTGGAAGCAAATGGTTGACTATGAGTGCAGTTTGCAGTGTCTGTCTGAGCCGTGTATACACAGAGGCCACACGTCAGCGGGCGGGAATAATGAGCACAGACAGCAGGGTGAAGTCAGTGCACCTTGCCGTACCTTGCACTGAGGAATTCCTCCGTGCCATTCCCGCTCCTGGCCCCTCCCCCTGGTCTCACACGCCTCCATTTCAGCGGCGATTGTCTGCGTGCTGCTGCCGCTGGGAGGGAATTGTTATTCATTGCGGGGGCTGGAGGGAAAAGAAGAGGGTGGAGATGGGTGTTGGGAAGGCAAAGGCCATCTTCTGCCCTTCAGCTGGAAGAGAGGAGGAGCCGGGAGAGCAGGTGGAACCGCCACTTAGTGGAAGTTAGGTGTGGAGGCTGAAGTTGCAGCGTTCAGACAGCAAGCCTGGACTGTGCCGGCCATCAGCCAGCGCCATGCCTGACCTGTGCCTGCGCTCCGCTAGGTAAAGGTGAGCCGTGTGAGCATGGCCGCGAAGCTGAGCCAGGAAGAGGTGCTGGACTTCCTCTGCCAGGGTGGAGGGAAGGTGCCCAATGCCGCGCTGGTGGCTCACTTCAAGCACTTCTTGCGAGACCCTCGGGCAGCCGCCGATCAGCTGCTGAAGAGCAGGGAGAGATTCAAGCGCTATGTGAACTCCGTGGCGGTGGTGAAGCAGGAGGGAGCTGTCAAGTACGTGGTGCTAAGGAGCCGCTACCGCGATCTGCTCGGAGAGGACCTGACACCGGCAATCCCCGGAGAAGTGGAGCCGCAGGATGAGCCGGCGATCGGCAACAATAGAGAGGATGATGAGCTCGGCTCCAGTTTGCTGCATGGAGCTCAGGTAGGAGGAGGATGGAGCAGACACAATGAAGGCAATGGGTATGATTATCATCGGAGTGAACCTGTCACTGATCGGTATCAGCAGCAGGGTTCAGCGATCACTTTAAACGGCCCTGGTTGGACCGGGAATGCTAATGGGACTTTCGATGGAAAGATCCGTCATGGACACTCCTATTCTGAGCCTTGTTCGCATGACCCAGAAACGCAGAGACTGCAACAGCCCTTATCTCAGTCCCCCTTCTCATCAGCTTACTCATCTGTGCCTACAGATCATGGATCTACATCACCCCCCAGCAAGACCTCATCACCTGTGAACAATACCTATTTACCAAGCAGGAATAGCTTTCCACATGACAGCCATGAGGTATTGCTTTCCAACAGGATTGTCTCACAAGAATCCAGTGATACCTCCATGTCCACCATGAAGATCTCTTCCCCCAGTAAAACTTCCATACCCTTCGACAAGACCTCATCACCCAGTAATAATTCTGTACCCTTTGACAAGACCTCATCACCCAGTACTTCCATACCCTTCGTCAGGACCTCCTCTTCACCCAGTAATGTTTCTACAAAGACCTCTGAAGCACCCAGTAACACTTCATCTCCTCAAAGCAAGGACTATTACCCCGCAGACAACCTCTCGGCACCTTATTCTAAGGAGTCTTCATTTTGTTCTTCTGAAACACCTTCATTGCACCAGTTGCCCTTCCCAGATGCTAGTGAGCATTGGAGACCCCTTCCTGGTGATGACCACAGGACAGAAACTAATCCTGCTTTTGTAAGTGTGAGCTGCGGGGGTCAGCAAGAACAAAAACTTGCTTGCACTGAGATACAGACTCCGCATTTTGGCTTTAGTGGTGCGTGTCTGCAGGAGGCGTATTCAGAACAGGAGGATAATTCCAACTATATAAGAGAACAGCAAGGGCATGGCTTTCATGAAGAGCTGACAGCTTCCCCTCCTTCCAGGTACATGCACTGTACACACCCTTCCTCCTCCCTGCTGCTCCCTCATGAATCAAGTATCAATCCAGTAGATGTGCAGCTGGAGGATTATCAGCCAGCTAGTCTATGCCCCTCACCACCTCTACCTCTTAATGATATGCATGACATGTGGATGTGCCAGATGCCTGTGTTTAAAAGCATAAGGTGCCAACTGTCTTTGCAGGACATGGAAGACTTTGTTGATCAGGAAAGCTGTGGAAGTGAGGGGAGTGACAGTGGTGAAGGGGGGGACTGTGACACTGAGCACAAAGATGATGATTTTTCCAGTGATTCAAACACTGACAAATATGCCCAGTACATTGAGCAGAAATGTGAAAACACCAGGAGATGTCCACCAAACAGAAAATTCCTTAGTATTATTGAACAATATAACCAGCTACAAAGTGGGGACCTGCTGGAAGCCAAAAATACTCTAGTGGTGTGCGAACCAGAATCTAGTGCAGCAGCCGAGACCAGGAAATCTCCTTATTTTGCTAAATCCTTCCTTACTGATCAAGCACCCATCTTGTTTGAGCTAGCTAAGCAACCTCCAAAGCACAGAGCTAGTTCTCGCTTCCAGGAATTAATGTCTTCCTCGGATGATGAACTAATTGATAGGGATTTCAGAAGGAAGAGGCGTTCGTCACGCGCAAAAAGACCTCCCGGTATTATTCTGGTACCTCCGCATCCTGACGGGGACTTGCTTCTAACAGCAAAGCCTGTGAGCTATAACAAGTTTGTTGTAAATCTTGCCGACCAAAAAGAATATCAAGCACAGAATGTACCAAAAGCAAATGTGGATTTTTTGCTTAAGAAATCTTTTACCTACAAATCCTCTACAGTACCCTTGGACCCAGCAGAGCATGATTGGATTGTAAAGTCGGCTTCCGGGTCCTGGCTTCAGGTCTATGGATTGTTTAGTCAAGACCCCCAACTGGCTTTACGGAAAGATTTCATCTCTGGTTACACAGCTCTGCACTGGTTTGCCAAGCATGGTGCCATTGAAATGTTCCATAAGTTTGTAGCTGGTGCCAAAAAGGCAGGGGTTGAACTTGATTTGAACATAAAGTCCAATGGTGGCTACACACCTTTGCACATTGCTGCTATTCATGGCCATCAAAAAGTGGCTGCCATGTTAGTAGAAAACCTCAAAGTAAATGTGAAGTTGAGGGACAATAGTGGAAAGAGGGCCTGGCAATACCTGAGCTGCAACACATCTGGTGAGGTATGGCAGCTTTTGGGGGCACCCAGGGGTAAAACCATATTTGCTTCTCGCACCTTAAATACCACTTATTTAAACACACACAACAAGTTGAGTCAGATCAACAGAAAAACATCTTTGGCGGCTTTTCTCAAACCACAGCATCAAAAATGGAAGGCAAACAACCACCCTGTATTAAGGGAAAGGGAAATATACAGTGACTGAAGCAGTCAGTGTGGAGCGACCCCTACTGTTGAAAATGCACACATTCCAAATGGGGATGGAAAAGAAAGTAGATCCTTCTTTGTTACTATGACAAGGACATGTGCTTCCTGTCCTGCAAGCTTTGCTGCCTTGCATTCCTACTGGGTCATAGGTGCAGATCGGGGGAGGGACCAGTAAAAATCCAAGGTTCATGTGTTCTCCAGGGAAGGAAGCATACACTATTGCTCTGGTAACACAGTGGCAGCTCCCTTCTACATTGTCCTACAATCTGCACTGTCATCTACGTTTGCAGGTAGATCATGGGGCCAGGACATTGATGTGGGTTACCATCAATGGGGCTACAGACAAATACCCACAACTGACCTCCAACTCAAGTCCTAGACTGAGGAACTGGATAAAGCCACTTATGCGTATGATTAATCTCTTAATGGGCTTCCATTTTTTTAAAACTTCAATCCCAATGATTTAATATTAACTTTTGCATGCACTTAAACAATTTAGGTTTGCAAGGAAGTGCTAATATTTTGAGACTGCACAACCATGTTATCCGTCAGTTGCAATATATCATATCCATAAGTGTCTTACAGAATAACAAATGTTTTCTCTCAATCCTTAGGTCAGAAAAGTTTACTTTAGCACAAACATAGCCTTTGTAATGTACATGGCAGCAGATGTATTCCATTTCCCCTGTTGTCAGGCTAATACACTGAAGCTCTGTCTAATTCATCTTTTGTCTTTTCCATTTACAACAGTCAGGTATATTCTGCAAAATGACTGTTAGACTTTCATGACTAAGGCCCCATTCACACTGAGCGATTCGCAAATTGCGCGTTTGCGGCACGATTTGCATATTGCGCGCATTGAGCAAGCTAGAATCGCGGCAAAATCCGCTCCAAAAAGGGTCCTGCTGTAGCGACAGCGACGGACAGAGCCCCATTGCCATGCATTGGAGAGCGATATCTTGCGGTAAATAGCCGAGATATCGCGGGAATTACCGCACGATAAATCGCTCAGTGTGAATGGGGCCTTAACGGTCGCTTCTGTTGACTCCTGTATCATACTGTGATTTGAAACCAAAGTAAACGTAATCTTTGTTGGCAATTGCAATGATGGATTTTTTTTTAACTGCCGGAGGATTTTAGAAAGTAATCTATTAGATTGTTATAGGATTCATTCTGAAAGCTCTCGCACCTGATAAAATCTTTTCTGAAACGCGGCAGTTATTTTTAGCCAATTGTTCCAATGAGATTTAAAATGTAGTCACATGGCTAAAATATAGATCCTTATCCATGTGTTAAAGCATTGTGAATAGAGCTGATTCTAGATTAGTAAGAGGGACCATACCATTAGTTTATCAAAGTTTTTGAATGATGAACTGTTTGTTTGCTCATGGCAACTAGTCGAAATCCAACTGTTCTATTCTCAGTACAGGCATGGGAGTGAATGAAATAATTTGGTTGCTGGGAAGCGTATGAACTAGTTCATTTAGACTTTGATAAATGAGACCCTGTATTAATTTTAGCTGACTGTACCAACATACATAATAGGTCTAGAACATCTAGATCAGGGGTGGGAAGCTCTAGCCCTCCAGCTGTGCTTTAACCCCTTCATGAGGCCCTTTTTTCATTTTTTGCACCCATGTTATATTCCACATTTTAGACCCAACATGTCTTTGCCTCTGGGAGTCATGTCTAACTGCCAGTCTTGAAATGCCTCATGGGACTTGTAGTTCCACAACAGCTGGATGCTGAGACGTGTTAATGGCATTACAAACCATCTTAAAATGAAAACAAGTGGTTTTTAGGCCTTATACACACTTAGAGTAAGCCCGTACAGATCTGTGCGATGTGCATGGCCGTATCGGGCCGTTCCCGGGAAGGACAGGTGCATGTGATTGTACGCAGCAGCCTGTTCTTCTCTTTGGGAGGACGCGGCCGTACACTCACCCGAGCGGGTATCAGTACTCGTGCGTAGACAGGATGGACCATGGACACCCGCGCGGGTGTGCGAACGACAGAGTACGGCTGTGTCCCCCCCATAGAGAAGAACAGGCTGCTGCGTACAATCACATGCAGCACCTGTCCTTCCCGGGAATGGCCAGATCCCCCCCAACTCCAGCCACAAATTATATGTAGTTTGTGATAAAATGGAAAAGGTTTAAGGAGATTCCCCATTCCTGTTCTGACACATCACCTGTGCAGGATTACGATGCCATATAAAAATGTAATTGAAAGCTAAAAGCAAACTTGTTTAATGAAGAGCTGATTACTCAGAACTTTTAAGTGTCAGTCTTGGGAACACAAGCTGTGCTCTTTTAATTTTAGTCTATTAAAAGCCCAAGGTACTGCATGAACCTAGGTGGTAAAAACACTATTGGTGTTCTGCTGTCACGCTTCTACTACCGTGTTTCCCCGAAAGTAAGACAGACTTATATTTTTTTTTCACGAAAAAAGACACTAGGTCTTATTTTCGGGGGATGTCTTACCTAGCTGCAGCTGTCCGTTCTGCCGTCCAGGGAGCCACAAACAGGCGGGGGGTGGGGGGCGTGTCTGGCAGGGGGGCGGGAGGGAGCTGCCTCTCCGCTCTGATGCCATCCAGAGAGCAACAGACGGGGGCGGGAGGGAGCTGCGGCCGGTCTTCACATGTAAAATTTAATTACATGTGCAGCTACCCCAAAGGTAAGACCTAGCGCTATCTTCAGGGATGTCTGTAATATAAGACCTACCACCGAACTAGGTCTTATTTTCGGGGTAGGTCTATTATAGAAATCCCAGAAGACAGCGGTAGGTCTTACTTTTGGGGAAACACGTTATTTGTTTTAGGCTCTATTTTATGTGCAAACCCTATATTATTTTGGTATTGAAGGGCTTTTTCCCCTTGGATAAAACATAGATCTTTACTTAAAGATGAACTCTGGGCAAATACATTCTTAACCCTTGCAGTGAGGGTTACCCCCCACACTGCAAGGGTTAAGTGCTCATTTTGCCTACAGAACTAAAATAACATGATTATACTTACCTGAATCGCAATCCCGGCTGGCTCCTAGACGGCCCCTTCAGCTTCTCTCCCCCTACGCTCCAGCGATGGATGAAATGTCCCTCTGCGTTCTCAGGCACAATACACTGTTTAGAACATGATGACTCTCAGAACCTTAGACTGCTGGAGCAGAGGGGGAGCGAAGCTGAATGGACTCGTCTAGGAGCCAGCTGGGATCGCAGTTCGGGTGAGAAGAACTGTTATTGTAGCTCCCTAGACAAAATGAGCACTTAACCCTTTCAGGGCAAAGATTTAATTTGCCTGGAGTTCTTTATGACCCCCGCTTCAAATATCCTGAAGAGCCTTATTGCTCCAAACCTCATACCAGTGGTATCCTCATTCTGCCCTCACCCTGCTGTTTTGACTTGGCAAACTAATACTGGCTACACATATTGAATTTCTGGTGATTTTTTTAAATTTTTTTACCTCCAGTAAATATGAATTTCATCACAATGTAAAACAGTCTATCCTAAACCTCCATTTGCTTTGCAATGTAAACAGCCACTATTTATATTTTAAAAAATGACAGCATTTTTCAGTCAAGCTGGTAACATCAGTCTTGACGTAATCACAGAAACCTGCCTTTGTTTTTCTTTCCCTAGTAAATTTTGGCAATCATAGCTATATGTACATGGTCAGCATTAGTTTCTCCATACAGCTAATTAATGATCAGTATGTGTTAATGGATGAAAAGAATTCTAGTTTTCACCAGTAGCCACATTTATGGCCCTGAATAAAATAGAACCCGGGGGTGGTGGGGCGGATAGGAAACACTTCTACATAGAGGCATCAAAACTAGTAGGTGTGAAAATCCTTTAAATGAAACCGTAGATGAATCTATAAATACTACAAATCAGTGACCAAACGTTTCAATACATTCACAGCAAAAATAGAGTTCTCCTAGCCCTGCTATTTCATTTATTGTTAATCTATGGCTCTTCAAGCATGTTTTAACGGTTAAAAAATAATAAAATATGTTTAATACTGTTATAAAAATTGTTAACATTACTGCCCTGATGCAATCTTTTAAACTACCAGCAATAAGGAAATCAAGTTTTTTTTTATTTATTTATTTAAAGTGAAAGCTGGATAGGTTGTTAGTACATATTAAACTAGTGTAGTGATGCAGTCGTAGTCATTACAATAAGCCTGATGGCTGGTAAGATAAAACATGTTCTTATCTGTTAAACAGGGTACTGTTTGCAGCTTTTTAAAATTCATGCAATAGTTTAAAATGCACAAGTGATCTCTCGGTCTGCTGCTACATTTGCACTAATCTTGCTGCCAATTAAGGCCATACCGAAGGAATTTGTTTTACCCAGCATGAAAAAAGAAATCATTACTTTGCAAGCCCGTTTCCTTTTTTGGATGTTAAAATAGTGACAAACAGGTATTTCTCTTCCAAGATGTGTTCCAGAGACTCTCACTTCAAATCAGCGAATTCCCATGGCCAGCAAGTTTACATGAACTGATACTGAGCACAATCAGCAAAACTTGAAATGTGTGTGTGTGTCTGTGTATAAAATGTGAATAAACCTCTTTTGTATTTTACCGTTGATACAGTTTCAGTGTTTGCATGATTTCATATGCAAGCGTATCAGTAGAGGAAGCCCAGACAGGTCAGTAACAGGTTTGGTAGCTGCTGACTCATCCAAGTTATTAACCTCATAATGAATGTCTTACAAACACATAAAGAAATGTTCTAATTATAGTGCACAAGGTCGATTAGGTAAAAAAAAAAGACAACTGGGCATAAATCTCAAGTTGCTTTATGTAAAACAGTTTATGAACCTCCATAGAGAATATGTAAAAGTTGCAGGAACATGCCAGTACTAAATATATTTTGTGAATGTGGCATAGTGAAGAGCTATCTTTTCCAACACACTGATGATTTCCTGTCTGGTAAGAAAAAATATTGTCTTCTATCCTGTTAGCTTCCTTCAGCAGCTCAGAGCTGCAACTTATGTAGAATAGGTTGC